TTAGCCCGCGCCCTATGGCTCCTCCCCCCCTCATGCTCAGCACCATGGCGGTCAGCTGCCTGATAAGAGGTCACACGTTGCGTTGCGTGCGCAAGAGCGTAGCTCCCCACCTCCGAGCCTTCACGGAGCCCTCGAAGACGAAGTTCTGTGAGCCTGCCAGGCTGCGAGATGAAGAGGTTAAGGGAGGTTAGGGGTTAAGGGGTACGGCACAAGGCGCACAAGCTCTCAGCTCTTTCGGCGCAGCGCGTGGAGTGACCGTGCGCATGTACAGGCGACGGTCAAGAACATCTAGCTTCGCCGTGCCCTTCAGCCCAAGTTTGCTACAAACAGACTCCGTTAAGGGTTTGATGCTCAGCCGGAACCGCGGTCTGGGGCAAGGGCACGCGGACTGTATGCCAGCGGGCGTGCAAGCTGCCAATGCACCGAGCGTTCCTCGACGCATCTTCTGTGATCCCAGCGCGAGCCAAGCACCCGCACTGGGGCGCTAAACTTGCTGGTCTTTGCGTGAAGTGTTGAAAGTTGAAAGTTTGCAAGCTTGGGCTTTGAGGGGCCACTTCACATGAACATGCATTGTCAATATCACAAGTGCTTAGGGCTGTGCATCCTGCATAGAAAAGGGGTTCTTGGTTTGGGAAGCGTTGAGAAAACGGCCGTGAGCCCTGAACCCATTCCTTCTCAAACTTTGCTAAATCCCCCGCTTCGACCGTGCAAGTGCTTCTCGAGACTCAATGGTGTTACACAAGCTTTTTGACCAGACAGCTCCAGCTCTCTCATGTGTCAAGTTCTTTCGGAAAGAGATCCCGCAAAGATGCGCCCAGAAATTCACGAATTTCGCCCGCACTGGGCAAGGTCCAATTTAGGGCTTGTTCGCTGCGCCTATTCTCAGCGGCCTTGCCTTGCATCCACACAGAGTCTACGTCTTGGCGGGCAGCTTTGTCGGGGTAGGTGCGCCCAGCCTTTTGTTGGAAACCTCGGACATGCCGCACACCCAGTTCCTGTCTCTGATAAAGGAGGATGCAGTCGAACATCTCAAATGTTGAGCATAGTGGATTCAGGACTGCCACAAAGGGGAAGGTCGGAGGAATGTCTTGCCGTGCCCACCACTCCAGTGCTTCGTCAAGCGTTGAGACTTCGGGGGGCACATCCCAGAAATAGCATTCTTGGATGTTTGGCTTAGGTGGAAGGCCAAGCAGAGGATGTCCTGCGTGACCACGGGCCATTGCTTCTAAGCAGCGGAATGCCACAGCCAATACAACTAGCACTTCCCAGCCTTTGCCAGACAGAGGGTCGGATGCATCCGTCTGAAGCCTGTTGATCCAATCTGCAAGCTCCAGCTGATTCAGATACGAGCACATCTGTGCCGCATAGCACAAAATCCATTTCGCGTCGCCCTGGTCCGAAGTCGCGGTGAGGCAATCAAAGGCTCGTATAGCATCACCACGCTGTCTT